AAGAAGGAATGACGGTGCGTCCTCATAAATCTGCGAGGTTCTTGCCGCTCTCCCCTCCAAGGGCTGGTGGCGCAGGCTATGATCCTCAAGTATGTTGGGGGCTACTGAATTTTCAGAATTGTGCTCAAGATCCCGTTCTTTTTCTTCCGGTTTGTTTTCAGTTTGGAAAACATTTATAAAGAGCTGTCTACAGACATAGAGGGTTTCGTTCATCCTGGTCACGGAGATTTATCCGGGTGGGCCAAGCAAGGTGAGCCAACCACTCCTAGATGTGCTTTGGACGGATTTCAGCACACACTTCTCTTATGTCCTGCTGGCTTATGTTTAGCGAAGAACATGAAGAACTAGAGCACTCACATAAAATGGCTGCATTTATAGAAATAAAAAAAAAAATGTATCCCCCTTTTTATCCTCTAGCCAATGTTTTCTTTCATGTTTTAATCATAATTCAAAAGAGAAAAATTTGTTTCTCAATATTATTTATTTTTAAGTTTATTTATCTTTAATATTTACACCCAACATGGGGCTTGAACTCACAACCCTGAGGTCGTGAGGTCAATAGTCACATGCTCCTCTGAGTCAGCCAGGGGCCCCTTGTTATTAATATTTTAAATTTACCTGCTAACTTTGACCATTTAGGAGATGGCTTCGCCTTTCTCATTTCAACACTAGGGCTGTGTTTTTTTGTGTTTAATACCTATTTACAGGTGTGTCTTTCTCCCTTTCCTCCCTCCCTCCCTCCCTCCCTCCCTCCTTCCTTCCTTTCTACAAATGAACTATAACCAGGATAAGAAAAGAATGTTGACTGTTTGGTTTCTTATGGTTGGATTTTTGTTTTAGTGAAATGTTTCGGTTTCCTTTTGTTATCTTCTAGGGTTACTTAATGTCACATGGGATATACATGTATATTTTTAAGATTTTATTTTGAGAGAGAGAGGATCTCAAGCAGACTCCCCACTGAGCACGGAGCCCGACATGGGGGCTCACTCTCCCAATTCCAAAATCATGACCTGGGCCGAAATCAAGAGTTGGACGCTTAACCAACTGGGCCACCCAGGTGCCCCTTGGGATGTATTTTTAAAACAACTCTGATGGGGCGCCGGGGGGGCCCAGTCGTTAAGCGTCTGCCTTCGGCTCAGGTCATGATCTCAGGGTCCTGGGATCGAGCCCCGCATCAGGCTCCCTGCTCAGTGGGAAGCCTGCTTCTCCCTCTCCCACTCCCCCTGCTTGTGCTCTCTCTCGCTATCTCTCTCTGTCAAATGAATAAATAAACTCTTTAAAAATAAATAAAACAACTCTGATGACACATGTAAGGCCTAGTCATTGCTACAAACTCAGAAGATGATGAAATTGCAGAGGTGAAAGGACAGTGCTCTCTGATGTTGCCCAGAGGCACCCACCAGTCATGTTGGGATGCTCTCTCTGGAAGCTGATTTCAGAGGGCTGCACTGTGTGTGTGTCTTCCTCTCTGTCTCTCTCTCTCTTTTGACTCATTTGCCTCTTAACCTGTTTCTTTGGTGTGTGTCCATAGGTGTTCTCTTACTCAATGCTGTGCTCACGGTCCGGGCACATCAGGCTAATTCCCATAAGGAGAGAGGATGGGAGCAGTTTACTGATGCGGTCGTGTCCTGGCTAAATGAGAACTCCAGTGGCCTTGTCTTCTTGCTCTGGGGCTCTTATGCTCAGAAGAAAGGCAGTGCCATCAACAGGGTATGGTGGTTTTGTTTTTAAACATTTTATTTTTTTGTTTTTATATATTTTTTTATTAACATATAATGTATTATTTCTATCTGGGGTATAGGTCTGTGATTCATCAGTCTTACACAATTCACAGCGCTCACCATAGCACATACCCTCCCCAGTGTCCATCACCCAGCCACCCCATTCCTCCCACCCCCCTCTCCTCCAGCAACCCTCAGTTTGTTTCCTGACATTAAGAGTCTCATAGTTTGTCTCCCACTCTGGTATTGTCTTGTGTTTTTTAAACATTTTAAACCACTTTAGAAAATACTAGGAATCCCTGCGTGTGGTTCTGGAAAACCCATGGCACAAGGTGAAATTTATTTTCCCTAAAGGCTTATAATGAGGGTCAGGTTTCCCATTGAAAATGAAGCAAAATTCAGACATAGGAATGATGAGTTGTGTGTGAAGAAAGCAAAGGGCCAACTTCTGATTTAATAGTTAGTACTATAAGCATACACTTGCTACATACATAGAATGAGAACGGCCTCCACTCACTAAAACAGACGGTGCAGTAAGCAAGCAATAAGGCAAGGACCACACCCCCCACGTGCTCCTCTGCTCCTTCTGTGTCCTTACGGAAGTACCGACATGCCTGGTGCTGAGATGAAAAACCAGAAGCCATCCTTGAATCCTTTCCCTCATTCCCTTAAACCTACTCCGCCAGCAAATCCTGTCCCCTTACCTCCTGAGCACATCCCAGTCCTGCTGCTCACTGTTGACACTCCTCACACTGGAGTGAGCCACTGTCACTTCTGTCTAGGCTGTGATAGACCGGGGCTGAGGGTTGGATGGAGGACAGCATGGTGGAGGAGAGAGGTGGGGGGGCGGGGGGAGGCAAGCATCCAAGGTGAGCCTTGGTCCGGGCTGCTGGGAGACACAGGATTCAGAAGCGAGGGTCGGGGAGAAGTCAGCGAGTATGCAGTGCAGTGAGTGAAGTAAAGGGGTTCGGTGAGGTCACCTGACAGTAGCTTGTGTGACAGCAGGAGGTAGCTGGCCTGTCAGGAATGGCCAAGTGGACTGAATCCCCCACCCCGCATCTGGCATCACACCCAGCACTTTCCCTGCAGAATCTCGCTTAATGCCTCATAAAGTATTAGAGTGATAAAGTTGCGGTGAGTGGCGGGGCGGAGATCAGAGCCTGCTCACCTTGCTCACGTAAGGGGCCCGGTGGGGGTGTATTCGGGTTCCACGCTGGCAACCCGCTCCCAAGTCTGTCCACTTCTCCATTTTCTCTTAAATGGAATTGGTTTTCATCTTACTTAGTTTTTTTTTTAAGGTAATAGGTTCACATGATTAAAAAAAATGAAATAGGATAGTAAGGTACGCAGCGAGAAGTATCCCAGCCGAGTCCCCTCTGTTAAGTTGCTTTCCCTGCTCGGGTAGGCGCTAGCTTATAGTTTCTGATGTCGCCTTCCCAAGTCTTGATGTGAACAGCAGTGGAGTGTGAGAGTCAGGATGAGTCTAAAGTTCTGTGTGGATGAACAAGATGTTTTCAGGTGTTTTGAGGTAGAGAATAGTAGGAGTAAAATGTGGCACGAATGAACTAACTGCTAAGGTTGGAGCGTGGAGATAAGTAAGCGCTCCATGGGAGTGCTCTCCCATCTCTGTATGGTCTGCGTAGCTCCTACTCAGCGTGTATGTAGTTTTTATTACTGAAGATGGTTTGGTTTGACAGGAAACAGTTGTAAGAGTAGCGTGATGATTAGAAGCCAGGTGCATGTCCAGCTGGGTAGCTTTCCCCGAGCACTAGGTCTGTGTATTCCGCTGCCTCCTTACCCGTGACCCCTCAGCACACCAGATACCACGCTTTCCAAGGTAGGTTCTCCTTTGCTCATCCAGCCTTGCCACACTGGCTCCTGTGGATCCCCCGGGAAAGAGAGTACCACCACGTGCTTGTCCAGCCAGAAATCGGATAGCATTTGTGACCCCTTCCTCCCTCCTTTCCCCTTTCCCTTCTCCATCTCTGCTCCCGACCCTTCTCCCCTCCCCGCCCCATACCCTGTCAGGGCATTCCTTCGTAGCCTTCCCCTGCTCTCAGACTCCTCCTCACCTGGCCGCCTTGGCCTTGGTTCAGGCCATCACCTGATCCTGCTGGAGTGTCGGGTGTGGTCCGCCTGAAAGGCCCTGCCTTGGGCTGGTGGGCTGGGGTCTGGAGCTGCCTCTCGGCCACAGCTCCCCTTTTCCTCTCTCCGCTCCAGGCTGACTGGAGCACCTCGACCCCTTCTTGCCTCCCTTTCCCTGCCTGCCTTTGAACATCCTGCCTCCCCTTTCCAGAGGCTGACTCACTCATCCTTCAAAGCCCAGCGCGGCTCACATTTTCAGGAGCCCGAACTGCATGGCAGGTGGCATGCTAGTAAGCACTCAACCTGTGTCATCTCTCAGACCCTCCCAATACACACGGGCATTGTTGGTTGCTGCACAGGATCTCCGTAAGCTAGGCGCTGTTGGATCCCCTTCACAGCCGCAGAAGGACCTGCGGCCTGGATTCATTGACTTCTCTAGGGCGGAGTCAGAACGGACCCAGGCCACCTGGATCCAGGCTCCGGGTTCTGCACCACACTGGGCTGCCCTCCTGTAGTTATGGCCCCTCCTGGACTGAGCTCTTTGAAGACCGGGATGCTGTGAAAACAATTAGTTGGGAGGTGGTTTTTATTTAAATACAGAAAAGAAGAAAACAAACATGGTCCAGAGTCTTCCTGCTCTGGAAAGTACGGCTGACATTTAAAAAATCGAAGTGTTCTGTTTTTGTAGACCATTCAGGTAACACAGAAAAGTGCAAAACCGAAAGTAAATGCCTTCCACTATTTCTTTACTTCACGGAACTACCATAAATAGTGTTTTGGGTCTTTTTCCAGAAAAACTTAGGCCATTACATTTTTTTCTTCCACTTGATATATTTAGGTTTTCCCTTATCAGCATATGTAGCTCAGCCTCATTCTTCTAGTAGCCTTGTGGTGTTCCATTGTAAGAAGTTCAGAAAACTATTTTTAGCCAGTTGCGTAACCCTGGATTTAGACGAAGCTTTACCTGGTACAAGCCATGCTGCCGCAAACCCCCTTCCACCTGCGTCTTTGTATATGTACACATATCGTGGGGCCCTTCAGCAACTGCATTCTTAGCAGTGAGATTACGGGGTCATAAGATCCGGGCACGCGGCCAAACATGCCGCCCATGACTCCTCTCCCTCTCTTTCAGAAACGCCACCACGTGCTGCAGACAGCGCACCCCTCCCCGTTGTCCGTGTACAGAGGGTTCTTTGGATGTAGACACTTCTCTAAAACCAATGAGCTGCTGCGGAAGTCTGGCAAGGAGCCCATCAACTGGAAGGATCTGTGACCCTGAACTGGAGGGCTGTCCTGAGCAGTTTTCTAGAGGCTGCTATTGAAATATTTGCCAGGAGCGGCAGCTTGACCCAGACAGAAGCAGCAAAGGCTCTACCCTGGCTGGGACCATATGGCTGTCTTTGCAACACGGCTTCGGCCTAAAACCTAACGTCACAGTATCTGGGAGAGGGTGGGAGGTCAAATACAGAGACTTCTTTTGTCTGTCACCTTTATGGTAAAAGGGGACAGGGGACAGAAGCACCTCTTGGTACAGTGGGCTGTTACTTGTTTTTACCTGGCAGGTTAGACTTTAGGTTGTAAGGTGTCAGGTGTGTTTAGTGCCCCACCCCTGTGCCCCACCTGGCATTCCAGTTCTTGGCCAAGTACACTGTTCCCTCGATCCTTTCCCAAGCCCTCAGGCCCCTCCTTGAAGGAGGCAGGAGGACAGTTTGCAAGTGCCCAGAAGTTTAGGGATGAAAATTTCTGAGGCCTAATCCTCTGTGTGAGCCTTCACAGACAGGCAGAGGGAAGTGAGCTGGGGCTTGTTTTCACAGTTAATCCTCTGCGTGTTCCTAGGAATGAACAGGGGAAGTTGAACTGGAAGGAAAAAAAGGGGGAATTTTTAAATTTTTTTTAAGCGAGGAACTGCTTTTCTTCTAGGTGCATCCTGAGTTGGGGTTTTTAAGGCAGCATAGACTGCCAAAGGCTGTTTTTTATGGACTAAAATCACGTGGGGATTTTTTTTTTCCTGCAACACTGGTGAATTTTGCTGTTTATAAAATACTTAGGCAGATGTATATATATGTATTTTGTAATCTTTTGTTCGGGAGACTGTCTTTGTTAGGTCTGCACCTTCATCCTTGATCCTGTTAGAGATGCTGTTGATGGGTTAGCCGGGGAAAGAGTTAACCCCGAGTTTGGAAATAAAAGATTGTTGGACCCCATGCCCTTAACGCCTGCTGTCTCTGTGCCCCAGGGCGCCTGCGGACGTCCTTGGGTGGCCCTTGGGCCCGGGCAGCTGGTGGTGGCCATGGCAACCATTGTGGGCCGGAAGGGCCACCCCCGCGCCGCCCCTCCTCTTTCCTCCCGCACCGCCCCTCCTCTTTCCTCCCGCCCCGCCCCTCGGATGGAGCCGCCCACCCCTCCAGAGGCCGGGTAATCCACGGGCGGGTTCCTGAGAGGGGCGCGAGGAGGACAGCAGCCCGAGGTCTGCAAGCTGACTCGCGCCCCGAGGGCCAATGGCGGGGGCTGGACGCGGCCAGGGACCAATGAGCTCTGAAGGGGCCATTTGGGGCTGGAAAAAAGCATTTCTCCAGGGATCATGGCTGTGTGTTCTGCCAAGCCCCGGACAGTGCAAGGGGAGCTTCCCTGCCCCCACTCTGCTAGTGTTTTCCAGACCCTTCCCTGGGACTCGGGACTGGAGGTGTGAGGCCAGGGCACTGGGAAGACGCCCTGATGGCCCACTGACGTTCTGGCACTTGCGGGGTGGACGATCACGATCAAAGCTTGGACTCCCGTGGTGTGTGATAGAGAAGGAAGCCAAAAGTAAGGGAAGGGCCTGATTAACAACGTGCTGGTATTTCAGTGGGCGAGAGAAAAAAAATGCATCCAATGAGAAAGACCACCTCATTTCTTGTTGGGGGTAGAAATTTGAAAACCTTTTGCTGGAGAACATTGCTTCCCATGCAGGCCATCGTTTTCTTGACATCTGGGAAGGAGGGTGTGATAACTGCATTGTGCGCACTGTGCCATTAGCAAGCAGGCTTTCACAGAAGGAGGGTGCAAGACAAGAGTGCCTTCTCAATTTGCCCTCTGGTAACTGTGGGGGCCTCCCTTAGACATTACAGTGGACTCCCTGACCCAAGGGAGAAAGGAAGGAATCCTGTTGCTACATCAGTTAGCTTTTAATAAAGGCTTCTCTCCCAAGGCAGTGCTGTGAGTAGGGAAGAAGCTCCAAGCCCTGTGTTACCATAAATCATTCATAAAGTGAACTGATATGCTTTTTCTTTCTTTTTTAGATTTTATTTATTTATGTGACAGACACACAGCGAGAGAGGGAACACAAGTGGGAGTGGGAGAGGGAGAAGCAGGCTTCCCGCTGAGCAAGGAGCCCGGTGCGGGTCTCGATCCCAGGACCCTGGGATCATGACCTGAGCCGAAGGCAGACGCTTAACGACTGAGCCAGCCACCCATGCGCTCCTGCTTTTTCTTTTTTAATACAATGACACATCTAGTGATGCTTTGAACAGAACACAGAGCTGTGTGTGAAGTGGTTTATGACACCACCCCTCCCCAAAAAGAAATGCAAATTTAATCACTTGCTTTTAAGAAACAAGGCTCATTTTGATGAACTTTTAGCTACGCAGTTGTGGGTTTTCCTCCACGCTTTTGGATGTGCTATGATCACAGCACTAGATTTGCAAAAATGATTAAAAGGCAGTCTTGGCCTTTTAGGATGGGGGTCAGCACACTTTTTCTACATAAAGGGTCTATATAATATTTTAGGCTCTGCAGTCATCCTGCCCACGAGAACCACTCTACTTCCCCTTGTAGAGACAGTAGCCACATGCAAAATGTAAATGAGCAGGTGCAGCTGCCTTCCAATAAAACTAGGGACACTGAAATTAAAATTGAATATTATTTGCGCGTGTCGGGAAATCTTTGGTTTCCTGCCCCCCACCTCCCCAGTGCTGCATGGCCCATTGTGGGAGCACGTGAGAAGCCCGCCCAGGATGTCTCCCTTCTCAGGCAAGGAAAAGAGCATCTGCTGAGGGCTTTTGGAAAACAAGGAAGTCAGTTACTGCAGAATGTCCTACGAACCCCAAGTTATAAAATAATCGTGCGGACGTCACCATGAACTGAGTCCAGCAGGGCAAAGTCGGAGAATGGGAGTTTGTTTGTTTTTTAGACTTTAGCATGTTGTTAGTATGCTCCCATTATTACAGAATACATTCTGTCCCTCTTAAAATGTACTCTGCTTTGGTTTGCACCTAGAATAAAAAGCCTTAGAGTTTGGGACTGGAGAAGCAAACTTTATGAGGCATATGTGTGTGGCTGTGGCTTTTTTCATCCTTGTCGATCCTTCGAGACCTACAAGGAAAAACAGGTGGGACGCTCTGGGCTACCTCGGAGAGTCCTGGCTTGTTGACTGGTGGCGAGCCAAGCTGAGAAAAGTCTGGAACTTGGGTGGCCTCTCTTCCTCCTTGGAGTCCTAACACACTTTTAATCTGGGTTTCACAACCTCAGGTCACCTTGTTGATGATCTTGGTTGGAATCTGTTTTTAAATTTTTGAAGTATGTTTGGAAATGCAAATGTTGGTGAGTGGGGCAGACCAAGAGATCAATACTTGGCATTCTTTGCTACTCAGTTGTGGATTCCCTGAGCCCGGTCCCTCCCAGCTAGTGGCATTTGCAGTGGTGGGGGATCCAGAGGCTTTAAACAAGCCCTTAGTATGCCTTAAGCCTCACCACAGATGCTCACCTGGGTGAGGCAGGCAGGCCAGGTCCGAGGATCCAGAGGGTCCAGCCACGAGAGTCCTTGGCTTTCATGCAAGGTGGAAATCAAACGCAAGCCAGCGGGAAGTGAGCAGAGTTTGTGGAAGACAACAGATACAGACACGGGAAGACTCGGAAAGGAACCGGAGCATGAGTCTCGTTTTTGCCTGGGGTCTGGGGTTTTTACTGACTGATTATGGTCTCGGGCACGTGTCATCCCAGGCAGCTAGGAACTGGTGAGAACAAGGACTGGGTCCAAGTGTCCATTCCAAGGCACTTATTCCCTGGAACCCCGGAACCAGTGGGTCTTGGAGTGAGGCTCTCTAGCGCCAGTGGTCTGGAATATGCATGTGATGGCTTTGTCCGATCCTTCCTGAGATACTCTCTTTTGTGCTGGAAGACTCCAAAGCTAACCATTAACTCCTTGTCCCTTGTGAGGGGGACATATATTAAGGCACATGTAGGGCAGGGGTGCAGGTCCTAGCAAGAATAAAAGCAGGAAAAGACGTAAGGAAAGAAAAAGCCAGCTTTTTCTTTCATGGGGTCCCTTCGGTTTCCCAGTCTCATGGGGAAAATAAAAAATATCAATGCCAGGCTTACTCCCAGAAAGTGATTGAATTGGTCCTCAGGGAGAAGCGGAGATATCAGTATTTTTACACAGTGTCCAGTTTATAGCAGGACCAGCAACCTCTTTCTAGAGGCCCTGTTTTCCTTACGCCATGTGGTCGCTTACTTTTTTTCTTTTTGGTGATAATGATACTTAGGACTTTCTGAATCTGAGATGTATTTGAAGAAATCTATTTCTCTATGACTGTTGTTGTGTTTGGTGGGAAAAGTTTATGAACGTACTCACTGGTCTCAAGCCTATCATTCGGCTTCTAAAAAATACCTATGACTGTAAAAAGAGAGTGTCAAGGGATCGCGGAGCTACCAGAATGAGTTTGTGCATGCGTGTGTGTGTGTGTGTGTGTGTGTGTGTGTGTGTGTGTAGGGGGAGCTGAGAGTGTTTGTAGTCTTTTGGAAAGTACGAGTTTCATTAGGAAGCCATTCAAAGCACCTGTTACGAGCAAGCCACTATGCCAGAAGCTTGGCGTATGTCGTTTTATTTCCTTTTTCCCAACCACGTGGTGAAATAGCTGCATGAGAAAACAGACTCAGTCATTTGCCCAGAGCCACAGGTAAGGGAGTCAGGACTCGAACCCGCGTGAGCCTGGTTTCAAAGCCCAGTCATCTTGCCACTACTTACACTCTGCCCAGATCATTGTTATCTATCGATGTTCTCAGGGGGGATTTCTGAATGGAGTTTATACAGATTTCCTTAAGTCACGGATAGCTCTCCCAGGAAAAACAGGACACGTCTGTAGGTGAAAATGTGCCCCATTGAGAGGACTGTGCGAGCTACTCCTGAGGGACCGACGTTTGGATGAGTCACCGAAGCCCCAGCCTTGGGGCCGCGGATCAGGGAGGAGGCAAGGTTTGCGGGCCGCGCACAAGACCTCCGCTCCCATCAAACGGATGATTTCATCCTCCCCTCCCATAAAGCGTGCGTGGTGCTCTCCCCGCTTATAGCTGACAGAATGAAGGCCTCAAGAGCAGGCCCGAAGTGCGTTTCCTGCTTACAGGTCCAGCGGAGAAGATCCTGAGTCCCGGGTGCTGACTTTTCCTTTCTGGAAAACAAGCCCACGGAGGAAGTGGTTCTAGCTGCACCTGCCGCCATTTAAACCGCTTTGCTCGGTTCAGGCTCTTGCGGGGTTTTTCCACTTGCTCTTCAGCGAGGCACATCCTGGGTTGACTGAGATCGGGGCCACCGAGCTGCCGTCCCCCCTTTTGTCAGAGCACAGCGCCCTTTTGTGTGGCTTCTGCTCTCCCTGCTCTGGGTTGGACCCAGAGGTGACCTTAGTCCCACATGCGTCCCGCCCTCCCCGCGGCACAGAAGGCTGGCAGCGCAGGCTGGGTGCCAGTGAGAACCAGCCAAACCAGCATGGAAGTGGACTAATTTGGGGTTGTTTGTGGGTTTTTTCCTCTCCCTAAGGCACAAGAAATAGGACACATTTTATTGAGCGGCGTTTTCATTCAGAAGGTTTTACGAAATCTTTTCCGGGGTGGGGTGGCGGGGGTTGTGCGGAGAGAAGCCAGGTGATCCTTGGATGACAGTTGCATCAACCCTTGGGAGCTTTTCCCGGCGGGCATGGTCTAGAAGCCATTTCTCAAATACCCAACAACCGCGTGCAATCAATTTTCTGCATGTCCTAGGAAGGCCAGAATGACCTGGTCCATATTGCAGACGACGACGTGGACTTTAGATGCCCCCTGGCTTAGATACCGAAGAATTGTGAAAGACAGCAAAGGTCTGGGGTTGAAAGGTGGCAAGCAGCGCTGTCCTGCCCTGCAGGGCCGCCCCAGGGGGTGGGGGGTGCGGGATCCTGTTCCAGGCTGCCTGGGCTGGGACTGCGCCAGTGCCTTGAAGGTTAAGTGCTCCAGGGATATTTTTAAACGGCAGGGATCAGTTAATCTAAAAGTGACGCTCACACTCCCTGGCCACGAGGAGCAGCTTGCCAGCTTAGAGTCAGGCCCTCCACAAACAAGGAACCCGGAAAGCACAGTTGAGACCCGGGAAAAGGAAAGGTGGAGGGACAGGTGGTAAGTGAGCTTACCCCTCCCTGGAGTCCCTGCCTGGAGAGCCGGCGTCCGTGTAGACGGGGGAGGGAGGGGGCTATCCTGCCCGGGGAGAGCAGCCCCTGCACAGAAGGGGGCAGGCTTGCCTTCCAGGGGAATGAGAATTCCTGTTCCGTTTGCGGGGAGCTGATCTGAGGGCTGGAAATGGAACCTAAATGAAGGAGAAGGGCCTCTCCTTGCTTCTATAAATGGTTATGTTGCTGGGAATCTCAGTGCAGGCTCTTGTCATCGGTTCCACAAACCGAAACGGTAGGGTTAGGTTTTAGGTTTACTGAAAAGGCAGTTGTGTTAATTTTTTTGTTTTTTTTTAAGATTTTATTTAAGAGAGAGAGCACAAGCAGGGGGAGAGGGAGAGGGAGAAGCAGGCTTCCCGCTGAGCAGGGAGCCGATGATGTGGGGCTCGATCCCAGGACCTGGAGATCATGACCTGAGCAGAAGGCAGACACTTAACTGACGGAGCCACCCAGGCGCCCCAAGTCTTCTGTCGTAAGGATAACTATTCTGTTTCTTAAAGATGTCCAATCTCTCAAACTGTTACGCACTTTTTTTTTTTTTTAAAGCAGACTCTAGGGGCACCTGGGTGGCTCAGTTGCTCGGCCGAGATCATGATCTGAGGATCGTGAGATCGAGCCCTGCGTTGGGCTCTGCACTCAGTGGGGAGTTGGCTTGAGATTCTCTCTCTTTCTCCCCCTCCCTGCTCGCTCGCTCTCTCTGTCGCAAATAAATAAATAAATCTTAAAAACAATAAATAAAAGCAGACTCTAAGAGTAAAGCATTTATAGTGGCCCTGTATCACTAGAAAGACATTTCATTTTTCTGAAGTGCACTATGAAGTAAAAGTCAAGTAGCATGGAGTAAAACAGGTCTCCTTGTACTATTCTTCTACCTGTCCCTCCCCCTCCTGCTGTGTACAGTTTGGTATAAGACTTCCCAGACCTTGGGGGCGCCTGGGTGGCTCAGTCAGTTAAGCATCTGACTCTTGGTTTCGGCTCAGGTCATGAATTCAGGGACGTGAGATGGAGGCCCAAGTCAGGCTCTGAGCTCGGTGTGGAGCCTGTTTGGAATTCTCCCTCTCTTGCTGCCCCTCCGCCCCCCACTCTCTATTTCTAAAAACAAAACAAACTTCCCAGACCTGGTTTCTCAAAGACCTATTCTGTGCCTTCACCTGGTACACAACTATCTCTCACGATGATCATTATTATTATTTATTATTTTAACATCAGTGGGCTTCCATGTAAGTTGGGTGACCGACCATCTACAGTGGCCCAGGACTGAGAACTGAGGGGGACCTCCTGGGAAGCCAGTCTTTCCATTTAAAAACTGCAAGGTAGAGACATTGTTTTATAAACTGTTGTTTTTTTTTTTTTCCTTCGAAACAGTGTCTTGGGATATATCTAGAAGATGTGATTTCTTCACTGACTTCTCCGAGTTTTAAATGGAAAGACTCCAGCCGATCCTCAGTCATGTGATTGGAGGTACAAACATTCTCAGTTTATGAATTTATTTGAGCAGCTCTAGGAAGGCATTTTATGTTTATGCAAAGGAGGTTTTTAAAACATTTTTTTAGAAAGATTTTATTTATTTATTTGGGAGAGAGAGAGCAGCAGAGGGGTGAAGGGCAGAGGGAGAAGCAGACTCTCCGCTGAGCAGGGAGCCCGATGTGGGGCTCGATCCCAGGACCCTGGGATCATGACCTGAGCTGAAGGCAGACGCTTAACTAACTGCGCCACCCAGGCACCCTAAGACATTTTTTTTTATTTTGACTCAGTTGACAGACAATGTTACATTAGTTTCAGGTGTGTACCTAGTGGTTCAACTTCTCTGTAGGTTATGCTGTGCTCACAAGCATAGCCACCGTCTGTCACCGTACATCGTCTCGCAGTATCATTAACTCTATTCTCTAGGCTGTGCTTTTATTCCCAAGACTTCTTCATTCCTTTACAGAGCCTTTCCCTTCTCCCATTTTGCCCATCCCCCCACCCCCTCCCTTCTGGAAACCATCAGCTTGTTTTCTGTATTTATTGATCCGATTCATCTTTTTATTTATTCATTTTTTTTGGATTCCACTTATGAGTGAAATCATATGGTATTTGTCTTTCTCAGTCTTATTTCACTTAGCATGATACCCCCTGACTCCATCCATGTTGTTGCAAATGGCAAGATTTCATTCTTTTCTTTATGGCTGGGTAATATTCCACTGTATCTATCTATAGATATTTATTTACAAATATATATATATATGTACACCACATCTTCGTTATCCATTTGTCTATTGATGGACACTTGGGCTGCTTCCTTATCTGGGCTATTGTAGATAATGCTGCAGTAAACATCGGGATGCATATATCTTTTCAAATTAGTGTTTTCGTTTTCCTTGGGTAAATACTTAGTAGTGCGATTACTGGATCATATGGTAATTCCATTTTTTAATTTTTTGAGGAACCTCCATCCTGTTTTCCAGAGCGGCTGCCCCAGTTTGCATTCCCACCAACAGGGCAGGAGGGTTCCCCTTTCTCCGCATCCTTGCCGACACCTGTTATTTCTTTTCTTTTTGATTTTAGCCATTCTGACAGGTGTGAGGTGGTATCTCATGGTGGTTTTCATTTGTATTTCCCTGATGATGAGCGATGTTGAGCATCTTTTCGTGTGTCTGTTGGCCATCTGTGTGTCTTATTTGGAAAAATGTCTATTCAGGTCCTCTGCCCGTTTTTTAAATCAGATTTTTTTTTTTTTGGTGTTAAGTTGTGTAAGTTCTTTATATATTTTGGATATTAACCCTTATCAGATTTATCATTTGCAAATATCTTCTCCCATTCAATAAGTTGCCTTTTTGTTTTTTTGATAGTTTCCTGTGCTGTACAAAAGGTTTTCATTTTGATGTGGTCCCAATAGTTTATTTTACGCAAAGGAGTTTTTGGTTTTTTTGGTTTTGTTTTTGTTTTTTGCTTCTGCTCAGGTGCTATGTAAGCTCTGTTTTATCACCTTTATATATGAGACATAAATTAGAGTATTATATGAGATACTTGATCTTTAGGGGGCAATAGACATTTCAAGCTTTTCAAGTGGAGACTCCCTCAAAGTCTTATCCCTGTAGAAACTTTGTGATACCTTATTTTAAAGTTTCCTCTGAATTTTGACTCAAAGATCTTTAGAGGAGTGTGCATCTGTACCCTGAGAAGCCTGGAAGGATGGTCAGAAATCATGCATTTTACCTGAAAACTTCATGCACGTTTCACATTCTATTCTAATAGGTCTCTTCGTTATAATAATAGTAAACTTACTACCATGAAGTAAGAGAATTCTCCAGGAAGATAGGATGGGTTTGTTTAGATTGTGTTAGACAATCCGGGCTGGGCGCAACAGGGAACCCGAGGTACTGATTACTACGTGATTGGCATGCAGCAGGTGTTGAATTACGCACAAGGACAATCCTAGGACGAGGTGTTATTTACTCCATTCCCCAAACCAGGAAGCTGAGGTTTGGAGAATTCGCGTGACTGGCTCTGGTCAGTCACATGACGAATGGCAGTCTCCACTCAGGTCAGCCCCACACCAGAAGTGGGGCTCTCTGGACCTCTCCGGGCCACCAGCACAGCACACCTTAGCACCCTTCCCTGTGCTGGGACCCCGGAATACAGCCTCACTTTTCAGTTAGCCCGGGATTGGTACCACCACGGTTGGACCCACTAACACACCTTTTCAAATCAAATCAAATCAAATCATGGGTGAGAGTGATAAGAAAGGACAACCCTGCCCACACTCTCCCTTCTGTTTGGAAGTAAATGGGTCTCAGGCTCCAGTAGTAACTAGAATAATCAGTTGTTGGAAACGCCCCTCTGAGCAGATCTTCCTTCCACACTGTTAAAAGGAAGGCTGTGGTCTCTTATTTCCACATTCGCAACAAAGTGGGACTTAGGGGCCCTCCTGTTTGGAGGAATAACCCACGTAAGGTGAAGGGGCTCTGGTTCCAGTTTGGGAAACATTGGGCTGCCCATGGGGAGCCCAGACCCTTTCTGGCAGACTTCTCAGAGCCTTGAATATACTGACCTGTGGTGGGACTCTCCAAAATGCAACTTTGGGATTTGGCAGCGATGGGGACCATCTTTCAGGGCTGGTGTCTGCCATCGGCACCTCCTGAGAAGCATGAATAGTCTCATTTTGTACCTTCTTCAATTCCGCTTCAGAATTGCAGGAGGCAGGATCCTGCCATGGATAAATGTCTTAACAAGGCTTGAGCTTTTGTACAGGGCTCCAAGGCAGCGTGTGTGCGTGTGTGTGTGCGTGCGTGTGCGTGTGTGCGCGCGCGCACGTGTGTGTGTGTGTGTGTGTGTGTGTGTGTGTGTATACCGAGCCAGAGCCCAGCCTCCCAGGTTCTGGATGGATTGGAACAGGGACATCTGCCAGCAGACTGTTGGACTAACTCACGCTTGGGGTGAGGTGGTGGTGGGCGTCGGGGAAGCACGAAGAAAACACACAGGCCCTGCAGCTGGTCGGTCACGTCCAGCTCTGCCGCTTCATGATGTGACCTTGGGCAGCAGATTCCTCCCCTGCCTCATCTCTTCATTTGCCAAACGGGAGCACGAACTTCCTAGAGTTTTTGTGGACATGCAAAGGGATAGTAAGCATGAAGTGCATAGTTTAAGACCTGGTATACAGTAAGTGCTTAACACACATTAGCCTTTATTATCATTTAGCAGTTTCCTCAGTTTGTTCAAGGATTGCTGCATGCCTCCCGCCGTGTCTACACTCCCTTTACCAAAGAGCCATTTTTTTGGGAACCTTGTTGCTGGGGAAGGGGTCAGGGAGCCTGGGGCAGGGGGGATTCAGCTGCCTGTCCAAGGTGGTTGCCCACTGCCTGACCTTGACGCTCACACCCTCAGACTCGCTGGAGCAGGAAGACCCTCTGGGGAGGCGGGAAGGATGGGCTGGATACGGAGGCGGACCTGGGCTAGGTGGAGGCATGATGCAGCCAACAGGTATTTCCTGACCCTTCCGTGTGCTGGGCCCTGCACTGTGGAGCCAGGGGCAGGACAGAGCCAGTCCTCGCCCCGAGAAGCTTACATTCCATGAGGGGGGTAGAGATGAGTGAGTGTATCAGTGACAACGTAGTGTCAGGTCAGCTTGTGGTAAGTGACGTGAAGGAAAGGAACATGTCACCGAGAATAAGACCCACGGTGTCAGGGTGGGTCTGGGGTGGGAACACGGAAGCAAAAGCAGAAAAAGGAGCAAGAGATAACCATGCCAGGGGGCAGTGGTGGGAAAGAACATTCCGGAACATGGGCCCACAAGCACAGAGGGCCTGAAGGGGGACCAGTAGCTAGAGAGTGGGCAGGGCCCAGATCTCCAGGGCCACGTGGACCACAAAGGAGTACAATGAAGAGCGACCGAGCATGTGAAATTCAGTTCAGCTGCCCACCGCCAGAGTGACTTGGGACAAGTTTAACTCTTGAACCCTGAGATTCCTCTTCAATTCAACACCAAAAAAAAAAGGCTTCTCACAATACTGATCTCACAGAGTGGGATGAGGTGGTGATTATAAAATGCTTAGTACAGAGCCTGGCACATAGTAAGTACTAATAAATTTTAATTGTTAGTACCAATATACAGGTTTTTATCAGTAGACAGGGTGCCTTAACTTTTTGGTATAGAAAACAAGTTAACTTTTTTTTTTAAGATTTATTTATTTATTTGAGAGAGAGAGGGTGTGCACACACAAGTGAGAGGGGCAGGGAGAGGGAGAGAGAACTTCCAGCAGACTCCACACTGAGCGCAGAGCCCGACCCGGGGCTTGACTGGGGGCTTGATCCCACAACCCCAAGATCACAAGATCACAACCTGAGCCAAAACCAGGAGTCTCAATTGACTGTGCCACCCACGTGCCCCAACTTTTTTTTTTTTTTAAACACATTCAGAGGTAGAGTGAATAGCACAGTGAGCCCCTCTATTCACCACCCTCTTCGATAACCATCAACTTTCTGCACTTCTGGTTTCATCTACCCACACATACACCCTTTTCCCCGATGTTTTCCCCATTTTACTGTGAAAAATTTCAGGGGCACCTGGGTGGCTCAGTTGGTTAAGCGACTGCCTTCGGCTCAGGTCATGATCCTGGAGTCCCGGGATCGAGTCCCGCATCGGGCTCCCTGCT